ATCCCTGCACTGTCCCCTCCCCTGGCACCGACACCCAGCACCGCCTGGCCAGCAAATCCTGTTTAATTGAGGAGGGTGCGGGTGGATTTGGAGGCTGCTGCTCAGAGCCTTGGCAGTGTGGAACGGGGCCCTGAGCTGTGCAGAACGCGAGCAGAGCTGGGGTGGCACCCAGGACATGAGACTGCTGCAAGGGGCCTCAGGCAGTGGGGTCACCATCCTATAATACAGCCAAATTCAGGGTTATAATAATTTCAGCTAAATGTAAGTGGTACAAGAGGTGAGGAATTAATGAATTAATTTTAGCATCCTGTGCGATACGACAAATTTGAGGGGACTCAGTTAAAAATTCAACAAATGGCACAATGATCTCCATGGGGAGCTGAGTGGTGCTGTGGGAAGGATACAGTCAGGGAGGTCTGGGTAACCCAGAGTGTCCCTGATCCCCATCATCCATCATCGCCAGGGTCCCACTGCCACCTCCTGCCTGATCATGATCCTTCTCCGTGTTTGCCCCCCAATTTCATGCCTTCAGAATTGTACTTTGGTCACTCCAGAGCTGCATTTCCTGTTCCTGGCCCTGGTGCAGCTTGGGCTCAGTGCTGGTGGTGAAGAAAGGATTCTGTGGGGGTGAGAGCTCCCTGCTCCACACCCAAGGCAGCCCACAGCCTGTGGGAACCATGCCCCTGCTCCTCCCCACCCCTCCATGCACCACAGGACACACAGTGGGGGATCCCCGGAGTCCCCATGGACCCCAAGGCCCCACGTGCCCATCTGGTCCCATACCCCGCTCTATCAGCCCCGTGGTGAGCCCCAGAGAACCTGTGGGCACCTCTGCTCATCACTGGAGCCTCCAGTGCCATGTGTGCCCCATGGAAATGTACACAACACCAGGAGCCTATCCTGCCTCCACACACCAGCTCGCAGCAGGGAGCAGACCTGCCAGGAAGAGAGGTACAGACAGGATTTAACAGGAACACAGAATAGGTTTCCATCCCTGAGAGGGCTCAAGACTGCACTTGAGATTTCCCATTTGAGGCCCTGGTCTTCATGAGTGTTTTTAAGTACCTTGATCCCTGCTGGAGGAACACAGCAGGGCATAAGCAAGGCAAGGAAGATCACATCAGGTTTTGTCTTCCTGACCTATGTGGTAGAGGAGCTGATAATGAGCAGTGCTCTTCTTGGACTTTGAACAGGAAAATGAGAAATGAATCACTGGGAGGAGTGCCTGAGTCATTGTAAGGTGGTGCTGCCACTCTGAGGGAGACCTCTGGGACAAGCCCAGGGACAAATTCCTATCAGGATGGTGTCCAGGTGCCCAGTTAGACAAGAACAAATGCTCAGACCAACCCAACTCAGTGATATGCGGAAATAACTGAGAGGAGCTTTCAAAGCACCAGTGAGGATTCTCAGTGATGGTTAATAGAAGATCAAGGGAAGGAGACTCACACACAGTGCTAATTGTTTGTGGAAACTCATTTACTAAGGGACAGGTACAACATGGTGCAGGCAGCAAACGTCCTCACAGTTGGAACCCTGAATCAGCATCTCACCAGGGCACGACCTTCCCTTCCCAGTCCAGGAAGGCCCCAGTCTCCTTCTCAGAGATGGAGGACAGCACCTTCAGCATCCCTTGCACGCTGTCATCCACTGTCAGGGGAGGCTGTGGGGCAGAGAGAGAAACAGCTCAGTGCTCAGGGGTCTGCCCTGACACACATCATTGCTCTGGGCAAGAAGCATTCCCAGTCCTCACCTCCCTCCCTCCTGTGGCTCCAGGGTACCTGCCCAGGAGCTCTCACACAGCCCAGCATGAGACCCCAGCAAATTCTGCATTCCTAAATGATGAGGCTCTCCCAGACCATGGACAGGAGATCTCTTACCTTGTATGATCCTCCTCCACCCCCCATGTCGGTCTGCACCCAGCCAGGGTGGAGAGCGACGCAGAGGATGCCGTGCTCCTTGTACGCCAGGGACTGGCACTTGCTCAGCATGTTCAGAGCAGCCTGAGGGGAGACAATGCAGGGACTGTGCTGGGAGGGGAAGGGGGCTGCAAAGGGGACATGTGCAGACCCCACAGCTGGGGCAGGGATTGGGCAGAGGGGGCCACTTCCTGGGATACAAGATGCTCCCTCACTATCCCTGTGTGGATGCCCAGCCCAGATGAAGTCCCACTGTATCATGTCTCTCAGAGGTAGGACCTAGGGCCAGGCACATAACTGAGCTGTGATGGGCACCCAGGGACTGGCAGCACCTCAGTCATAGCATAGAGAGGGGCACAGACTGAGGGGCAGGTTGCAAGGCAGTGTGATAATTCGGAGGGGAAAATGTCTGAGCCCACCCCCAGCAAAATCTGGCAGTACCTTGCTGCAGCGGTACGAGACAACTTGTCCAAACTCCCACACAAACATCTCCTCAATGGAGCCGGCAATGCTGGATACGTTGATGATGGCAGCCTTGCTGCAGCTCAGCCCTGAGCCTGGGCTCCCCTGGGCAGCCTTCTTCAGCAAGGGCAGAAACGCCTGTGAGGAGACAGAGGGGACAGGAGCACACATGGACAGGCAGGGGAGAAGCTCCTTCCACAGTGGGCAACATTGACACCAGCACTGGGGGAGCATCCTCCCTCCTCTTCCCTGCCAGGCTCCAGCTCCTGAGCTCCAGCCCATGGCTCCATGAGCTTCTCATTCACTGAGAGCCCATCAGGGCACCAGAGCACTGACAGGAGCCCCTCCCACTGGCCCTTCACTCCCTCTGTCATGTTCAGTTTGAGCACAGGGGAAGGGATCCTTCTGGAGCTGTGCTGTAGTGCTGGGGACTCACCTGGCCCATCAGCAGGGGTCCAACCGTGTTGGTGGTGTAAACCTGCATCATATTCTCCGGTGTCTCATTATCAAGGGAGCATGGCTTTGCAATTCCAGCATTGTTGATGAGGAGGTTCAGCCCAGAGCCCCCCAGGTGCTCCCCAACCTTGGCTGCAGCCGCCTTGATGCTGGCAGGGTCAGAGACTTCTGCAGAGCAAACACAGGGGAGGTCAGAGCCTGTGTCCCCATGCTGGAGTCCCCTCTGTTCCCCTAGAGGTGGCAGTGCCCGATGGCCCTGCAGGCACCAGCCCATGGCACAGCTCCCTCCCAGCACGGGGCTCCCAGGGCGTGCCCAGCTTGGGCACTCGCCAGAGGAACTGGGGCAAAGGATCCGCACCTCAGGGCACCTACCGAGCGGGATGATGATGATGTTGGGGTGCTTGGAGGCCAAATTCTGTAACTCCTGAAAGAGAGGGCACTGTGTAGGCATGGAGAGGCTGGAGGGGCTGTGCAGAGGCTCAGCCTTTCCCAGCTAAAGCCCACATTGCTCTGGCTCCATCCCTGCACTACCGTGGACCCACACTATGCTCCAGCTGCCCTGAACCCAATGGATGGGGAGGATTCCATGACCAAGCAGCACTGTTCCTTCCATGCATCCCATGCACAGCTGCTCCCATGTTGTCTCAGCCCAGCTGCCCTGTGCCACATGTGCCCAGCTGAAGCTCCAGCCCCTTGCAAGCACCAGCCCTGTTCCAGTCTCCCCCTGGCACCGAGTGCTCCCATCCCCCAGCACAGCCTCTGCCTCCCGCCCAGCCTCACCTGTGCTCTCTGTCCCTTGGGGTCCCGACAGGTTGCAAAGATCCACTGAGGTGGGTTTGGCATCCTCAGGAAATGCTGGACAAACCCCAGGCCGATGCCTCGGTTGGCCCCAGTCACCAGAACGGAGCGGACGTGGAGCCCTGCCATGCTGCTTGTCCTCCTCTGCTCCAGCTCTCTGTTTGCTCTACTCTCTAATAGTTCCTTTAACATTTTCTACAGACACTCCACCCACTCAGGATTTACACCAACCCTTGGATCCAGGAGAAGCAACCTCACCTGCCCTTCAAACTCCAGGCCATTGATCCCGGCTGGGAGCCAGTCCTTGTTTCTAAAGGGCAAAAACCCTTGGCGGTTTCAGGCAAAATTCTGCTGTTCTCAGGAAATCTAGTGCCACAAGCCAGGAGAGGATGTTGTGGTTGAGGAGGGAAGGAGCAGCATGTGGAAGGGATGTGGAAAGCTCCAGGGCTCACATGGGCTTGAGACCTTCACAAGAAGGGCTTTCTGCATCAGACCCACACAGCACAGGGAACAGGCTGATCTCATCCCCCTGCCCTGATCCCCGGGGCCAGGACATTCCTCACTCGGCCACGAGCAGACACTCTCTGCCTTGAGCTGGCCTCCTCCAAGCCAATGCCCATTCCCTGATTGTCAAGTGAAACAAGGCTCCCATGCAGGGAAGCACACCCAGAGGATCCAGTCTCCTGGCAGAAGGATGGGTACCTGCATGGCCAGCACATCACCAGCTGCTGGCCCAGCCACCCACCCCCTGCCTGGTTCTCCCAGGTGGAAGCAGAGACTGGGACAGCAGCAGTCAGGACTGAACCTTCCAGGAGGGTCGTTCAGATGCTTTGTCCCAGGACTGAGTCCCATTTCTCATCTTCACAGGCATTTTCTGCCTAGGAAGTGTCTCCTCTCCTGCCTGGGAAGTGTCTCCTCTCCTGCCCACCCACTCCCTGGCTTATGCTAGCAGGGCTGTGCCTCTTTCAGGCTGCCCAGGACATGGGGATGTGGTGCTTGGCTGTGGAGCTTCAAGAAGAAAAAGGCTTGGGAAGCAACTTCTCTCTCCTTTCCCAATCCCCCTGTGGTCCCCTTGCATCCTCCACGTCTGTAAATTCTGGCAGCTGATGCCTCTATGCTCTGTCTCCACAGCCAGTCTTCCCTCCAGTGCCTCCTGGAGGGGAGGTCTCCAGAGGGCAGTCACAGTGCCATGGCACCTGCTGGCTGGAACTCATGGGGATGCCAGTGACAGCCATGGGTTGGGGCAGCTGCGGGCACCACCAATCCCCAGTGCAGGAGTGGGATATCTGGAAAGGGTCACCCCATGAGCTGGCACTGCACAACAGAGCTGGAGGTCTCAGCAGGAGTTTATTGAGGATGTGGGGGAGGTGGGAGCAGTGCCAAAGGGACCTCTTGGCTGCCAGGATCCTGCAGTGGTGCCTCACCAGGGGACGACGTTGCCTTCCCAGTCCAGGAAGGTGCCGGTGTCCTTCTCAGAGAGGGAGGAGAGGACCTTCAGCATCCCTTGCACGCTGTCATCCACTGTCACTGGGGGCTGTGGGGCACAGGGGGAGATGCAGCCCATGCCCAAGGCCTGGCTGAAGGCCCTGGAGCAGCTGGAGCCAGGGGAAAGAGCTGCTCCAGGGCAAAGGGAAAGCTGAAAACCCCAGGGGGAGGGACTGAGACGAGAACTGAGGGCACGGGGACACCCAGCACCCAGCACCCAGGACCAGAACAGCGGGAGCTGCCCCAGCAGGGATTGGGCAGGCAGGGAAGCCATGGACAGGGGCTCAGGATAGCAACTCCCACGGATGCAAAACCAGCACAGAAGCTCTGATGGACCCGCCCCGGGGGAATTCCTACCACGCCTCCGGCAGAGCTGCCCAAGTCAGTTTGCACCCAGCCGGGGTGGAGAGCGACGCAGAGGATGCCGTGCTCCTTGTACGCCAGGGACTGGCACTTGCTCAGCATGTTCAGAGCAGCCTGAGGGGAGACAATGCAGGGACGGTGGTGAGAGGGGAAGGGGGGCTGCAAGGGAACCCACAGCTGGGCAGGGAAAGCAAAGGTGTGACAGCACCTTGCTGCAGCGGTATGAGGTGACTTGCATCAACTCCCAGCCAAAGGCAGAAGCGATGGAGCCACCAATGCTGGATATGTTGATGATGGCAGCCTTGCTGCAGCTCAGCCCTGAGCCTGGGCTCCCCTGGGCAGCCTTCTTCAGCAAGGGCAGAAACGCCTGTGAGGAGACAGAGGGGACAGGAGCACACATGGACAGGCAGGGGAGAAGCTCCTTCCACAGTGGGCAACATTGACACCAGCACTGGGGGAGCATCCTCCCTCCTCTTCCCTGCCAGGCTCCAGCTCCTGAGCTCCAGCCCATGGCTCCATGAGCTTCTCATTCACTGAGAGCCCATCAGGGCACCAGAGCACTGACAGGAGCCCCTCCCACTGGCCCTTCACTCCCTCTGTCATGTTCAGTTTGAGCACAGGGGAAGGGATCCTTCTGGAGCTGTGCTGTAGTGCTGGGGACTCACCTGGCCCATCAGCAGGGGTCCAACTGTGTTGGTGGTGTAAGTCTCAGTCATGTCCTCCAATGTTTCAGCCTCAAGCATCTTAGGCTTGACCATTCCAGCATTGTTGATGAGGAGGTTCAGCCCAGAGCTCCCCAGGCGCTCCTCAACCTTGGCTGCAGCCGCCTTGATGCTGGCAGGGTCGGCAATTTCTGCAGAGCCAGTACACTGGAGCTCAGTGACCCTATGGTGGTTTGGGGTCCCCTGTGTCCCCCAAAGGAAGTGCCCCCCCAAGGCTGCCTCTTGTGTGAAGCTCCCAGGGCTGTGCCCAAGCATTCACCAGAGGAACTGGGCCAAGAGAGAACCTACCAAGAGCGATGATGACCAGGTTGGGATGTTTGGAGGCCAAATTCTGTAGGTCCTGCAAGAGGGGTGATGACTTTGGTACCAACAGGCTGGAACAGCATTACCAAGGCTCACCCTGCTAAGCCAGCCAAAGCCTGTGTCCCTCCAGTTCCATCCCTGCACCACCAAGTGCCCAGCACCCTCCTCCAGCTGCCCTGATCCTGATACAGGGGGAACACTCCACAGCTCCTGAACACACCACGTATCCCCTCCATGCACAGCTGCTCCCATGTTGTCTCAGCCCAGCTGCCCTGTGCATAGGTGCCCAGCTGAAGCTCCAGCCCCTTGCAAGCACCAGCCCTGTTCCAATCTCCCCCTGGCACCGAGTGCTCCCATCCCCCAGCACAGCCCCTGCCTCCTGCCCAGCCTCACCTGTGCTCTCTGTCCCTTGGGGTCCCGACAGGTTGCAAAGATCCACTGAGGTGGTTTTGGCATCCTCAGGAAATGCTGGACAAACCCCAGGCCGAGTCCCCGGTTGGCCCCAGTCACCAGAACAGAGCTGACACAAAGCCCTGCCATGTTGCTTCTCTCTTCACTCCAGCTTGCACTGTTTACACAGCTCTCTAATATTTCCTTTTAGCATGCCCCACCCCACCCACTCACAGATTGCTCTAATGGTGGCTTCTCTCTGGGAGGAGTAACTGCTCCAGCTCTTTGAGCTCCAGGACATATGTCCTGGCTGGGGACCAATCCTTGTTACCTATCAGCAAAATCACTTGGTTTTTCCAGGAAAATTATGCATTCCTTTCAGGGTAACCTGATACCATAAGCCAGGTGGGGCTGTTGTGGGTGAAGAGGGAGGCAGCAACATGTGGGTTGATCTGGGAAGCTCCATGGCTCAGGTGGGCTTGACACGTTCACAAGCATCCTGTGGGCTTGATGGTCTTTGCACATTGTACCAAGCTGTGCCTCAGGTGACCCTAAGCAAATGTTCTCTGCCTTGTTCCTGCTTTTTCCAAGACAATCACCTCTCCCTCATTGTGGAGCCAAAGACCTGTGGAGTGGGAGAGCAAACCCAGCGTGGTGTCCTGGCAGGAGGGTGGGGACCTGCATGGCTGGCTCAGCACCATGCTGCAGGTCATGTGCCTCATCCCCTGGGGTGCTGTCCTAAGCTGAACTGTCCCTTTGATCAGAGACACAGAGGACTCAGGCACCTGGGACATTAACCTGCAAAGGAAATGCCCTGCTCAAAGCCTATTCTCCACCTCAACTACTGCCATGAGGCACTGACTGTTCTGTGCTACCACCAGTGGAGCCCAGTGCTGGTCAGTACCTCAAGTGATGCATTACAAGACTGCAAGGCTGGATCAGGTGTGTGTGTACACCATGTGTTCCTGCCCCACTGTAAATGAAGACCCACTCCCAGAAACCTCTTGCCAACCCCTTGTCCTCCTGCATTGAGTCCCAGAGCCATTGCACAGGCTGCTCACGTCATCTTGTGCCCCAGAATATCTTGGCAGCAGGTTTAACCAGAACAGCTTCCCCCAGTGGCAATGCCAAGAGTGTCTCCATGCTCTGGCAGCAGCTGATTTCCTCCTGCCCACTCCAGTCTGTTTTCTGGGGCTCAGCTGGCAGACACTGTGAGATAAGCAGGTCCTTTCCTGCTCAGACCTGGGAGCACCTGCACAGGGTACCGTCCCCAAACCCATTTGGGAAGGTGCATACTGGCATCTTCCATAGTGAGCTGATCCCATATCTTCTCTCTGCCAAGTCTGAGCCTCTCCTTAAGTTCCATGCAATTAATTTTTTTTTCCCACTTTGTTTCCTTGGTCAATTGGATCTGTCTACTTTTTGAATTTTCCATATTGGATTGAGACACTTCTTTTCCCTTGTGCATTCCTACCACTTACCAGCAGTGCAAAGCTTTGGGCCTTTCAGTATCTCAGACTGGTCTCTCACTGAGGATCTCCCAGATGGCTGGACTGGCATTCAGGCTCCATAGATCATTTCAGTATTTCCTTTTCAATGATTAAAGACCTCAACTATACTTGCCAACAGATGCACCAGAGCTCAAATCCGCCAAACAGACTTCCATGGTTTTCTTCCTCTACATGGAGGACAAGGCCATCACCCACAGCCTGTTTGAAACCTCCACAGTGACTCAGAAGCAGGTAGCATCAGAAAGCAAACAATTAACATTTTAAGTCTCCTATTTTTGCTGTGTCACCTCATTTGAGTAGCCTTCCACTGTTTTGGAGCTGTAACTTTGTCATGTTGACTTTGCTGTGGGGCCATAGGCTGCATTATTGATTATTAGAGTTTAAACAAGCACTGCTTCACCAGGAGTCTAAGTCCAGCCTGGCACGAAGAGGCAGAGGGGAAAGAAACCAGTCTCACTGCCTTGCAGCCCAGTCTCATCACAAGGGCTGCTGCTGTCCCCAAGCCTCTGAAGGAGGATCTTGGTCCAGCTCCTAAGAGGGGATTCAGGTGCTTCCTTTGCTCTGAAATGTTCTTGCATGGTCTAAATCTTAAGCTGAGCATTTAAGTCCTCAGAATTATGGAATCATTTAGGTTGGAAAAGGCCTCTAAGATCACTGATTTCAACAATTAGACTAACAATGCCAATTCCACCACTAAACCACGTCCCCAAGTGCCACAACCATGCATTTTTTAAACACTTCTGGGATGGTGACACCACCACTTTCATGGGCAGCCTGTGTACCAGTGCTTGAAAGTCCTTTCTGTGAAGAATTTTTCCTAGTATCCCATTGAAACGTCCCTTGGCACAACTTGAGGCTGTTTCCTGTCATCCTGTAACTTGTCACTTGGGAGCAGAGCCTGACCTCACCTGGCTCCACCCTCCTTGTCAGGGAGTTGTAGAGAGTGATAACGGTCCTGGTCCCAAGTCTCCTTTTCTCCAGGTTGAGCCCTCCCAGCTCCCCATCAGCTCCTCATCACACTTGTGCTTCGGACCTTCCCCAGCTCCTTTGCTCTTCCCTGGACACACTCCAGCACCTCAATGTCTTTCTTGCTGTGAATGGCCAAAAACTGAACACAGGATTCAAGGTACAGCCTCACAAACACCAAGTTCAGGGGCACTGTAGCTCTTCTCCCACGAGCCCCAGGCTGCTGCAAATTTACCCAAGGATTGTTTTCATATTGCTACACTGGGAATACTTGGAGCCAGTTTTCCAAGAGGCAGTCACACCTTTTCCACTCTCAGTTGCTGGAGGCTCAAGTGTGCTCTCAGTCACTAAGATGATTGCACAATGACAGTGCTGCCGACAGAAACATGGAGGAACATGCTTTTCTCTGCCTGCCAGGGGAACAGGGGTGTGGCACAATTAATTTTAGTACATTTAATCTACTGTAAATAAGAAATAAACTCGCTGCTATTTATCGCTGATTTCCTCCTTTTTTTTTTTGTCCCTTGCTCCACAATGCATTCAGGTCTGTCATCACCTATTAGTCATTTGCTAAAGAATCAATAGATAGTGGTAAGTGAGCCATCCACGAAGAGGTGGGGTGAGACCAACCCTGCACTGTAACTGAAGCTGGGCAGTACCCACCCTCCCTGATTACTTTTCTTCTGGGCTGAAGAGGATTAGTGATCTGAGGGAGTTGGAAACCCACAGCAGGAGGGTTGGAACCACGTAATGTGTAAGGTCTCTTCCAACAGAAACCATTCTGTGATTCCATTATATGATTCTATGAGTAGTGACACCCCATTGTGAAAGGATGCAGGGTCTGGGGGAGCTTACCTGCAGCTCCCAAGTGAAGTTCCCATGGCACCTTTGTCACAGCTTTGCTGTTTTCCAAGCAGACTCATCCAGGTTACACCTGCATTGTATCAGAGATGGAGAGGGACAAGGGCACAGAGTGACAGAACAGGGGGAATGGCTTCACACTGACAAGAGGGCAGGGTTAGATTGGGTATTTGGAAGAAATTCTTCCCTGTGAGGGTGGGAAGGCCCTGGCAGAAATTACACAGAGAAACTGTGGCTGCCCCATCCCTGGAAATGTTCAAGGCCAGGTTGGGGAGACTCTGAGCAACCTGGTCCAGTGGAAGGTGTCCCTGCCCATAGCAGGGCTTGGAACAAGATGGTCCTTAAGGCTCCATGCAACTCAAACAATTCTGTGATTCTATGACTGAGGATTTAAAACGCTCACACTGTCCATGCAACCTCCCTTGGGCCACAGTGTTTTGACCTTGTGCCAGCCTGGGGACTCACACTGGGTTCAGAAACACTTTTTGGGGATATTCCCCTTGTGACAGCAGCCAAGATGCCTCAGCTACCTGGGTGCAGCAGGGCTGGCAGCACTGGGACAGAACTGCCTTGTCAGGACCCATGGGCACAGCACAGATTCTCACTGACCATTTCTCCCATCCTCTAAGGGGGTGAGTGGCTGGGTTATCCTTCATGCTTCAGCACAGTGCCATGAAGAGGGACCTCAGAACCACCAAGCCAGATGAATTTTCTTTCCCACTATTAGATTTGCTAACAGGGATGGCTGAGGATGGGCTGTCACGTGTGGCAGATATGCTCCCTCTCAGGAACACTAAGGCACAGGCTAAATGACCAGCTTCTGACTGCCTTGGTTTGACATCCAAGTATTGAAGTGAGAAAAGGAGGCTCAGTAAGGTATAGGAATAGATAAATGGTAATGAAGATGTTAATTTGGGAATCCAGTTGAAAAAATCATTAAGTCTTATTAAGGAAAGGTATTTAAGCAGGAAAGAGTGAGTATAATTTTTAAATTAAAAAATATTTAAGGGACTATTCAAAATTTACTCCCTGTAAAGAAGTTAAAAGCTGAGCACCATGCTACTCCAAAAATGCCATGCCAGCCTAAATGATGTGACCCACTGCCCACACAGCTGAGCAGAAAAAATACAGTCTGTGAACAGCAAAAACTCATATTGTTCTGTAAGAAGCTGTGGACACTGCTAGAGTAAAAGGGGCTGCATTAGTATTTTATCAGCAGAAATTTAAACTTACCGTAGGTGTTCATTCTGGTTTCAAACCATATTTATAAAAAGGAAGGGGGAAAAAACCAACTTAGCATTTTTTCTTTAATTCCTCTAGCTGCATTTTTTTAAAATCGAATAACTTAAAGCAGCACTTAGGATGAATCCATCAGCTCAGTGCAAAGGACATGTGCCCACATGTTCTTTACAGTGCAGAAACTTCAATCAAATTACAGCATCAATGAGCTGATAACAGGAATTACTAGTTTTGATTTTTAGCTAAGTGAACTCAAATACTTCTTTGTATTCTTAGGGAGGTCTTAAGGGACAGTGGAAAATGTCCCTGCCCATGGCAGAGGGGATGGAACTAGATGATCTTTAAGGTTCCATTCAACCCAAAACATTCTAAGATTCTATGATTTATACCCTCAAACGCTCCAAAATTCACCAATATCAGACTTTACCAAGCAGCAGTGAGTTTCCCAATGCCTGCTGTAGTGAAATTAGAGTACTTGGATAAGCCTTGGGGCTTTTATGCTTTATTATTACTTGTTGCTGGTTTTTTTTTGGTTGCATTTTTCATCATTACCTGCTGGAAGCCTCCCAACATTTAACTAGCAAGGTTTTCAAAGAATGGATAATCCTCTATTTCATTCATGGGGAGCAGAAGCGGGTCAAGCAATGCCCACACCCGCCCGGAAAGTACTCAGTTAATGCTACTTGGAGCTGCCTTTCTTTCAGGGTTCACATCAGCATTCAGAACAGGCTCCTCCTGCCCTCAGCTGCGGCTGCACTTTAACTGTTTCTGCACAGGAGATCCCTGTCTACGAGGCTTTTTCAAACAATCACTTTTCAGGAAGAGCTATAAATGTAATTTGCCTGCAGCATGCAGGATCTGAGTGGAACAGGTGCCCAAACCCTGTCTATGGTCCACCCTGAATGTTGGTACCCCTTGGTCATTATTTGCTAAACTTTGCCATAGACAGAGCAGCATTTCTGCTGAGAAGTCACTGAATTAATGGCCTGAGCACAGGAGGCAGGAAAAAGAGAAGGGGATCCAAATATCTAGTATAATCAAACATTTATTTTTATTAAATTCCAACTTCTGTAAAAGAAAAGTCTAAAAGCATTTTAATGTCCTGAAGTAACCTGGGGAGCAGAGGCTCCTGTGCACTTGAACCACCATGGAGCAGGATAGAGTTAGCACAAATCACCTGATGCTATCACCCGACTGATACAAATATTTAGTTTCTGATGTATTTATCAGTATCAGAGATGTTTTGTGTGGTGTTTGTCAAACAAAGATGAAAATAAGCAACATAAATAATAACCCTTATATACATCAGAGTTGCTCAGTCATTACTTCACTGTTTAAATCCCAGTTGTGTGCTCACCGTAATGGGATTTTAAAGGGTATGTGGCTGTCCATATAACAGCTAAAAAATAAAACAATAACACCCACCTCCAGGCTGGCAAATGCAGACCCCCTCCAGACACTGTCCTCCAGCTGATGCTGATAATCTCTTTTCTGTTCTCCCTTTTCCCTCCAGCCCTGTTTTCCCATCCCTAGATGCCAGCAAACCTTTTCCTTGCTTTACTCTACGCTACCCCTTTGGCGCAGCTGTTCAACCAGGTACCTGATGGTCAGCAACAAAAAGAAGGAGGAAACATCCCTCAAAACACCTGCAAGCCCAAACTGCCCAAATCACAGAATCGTTTGGGTGGTAAGGAACCATAAAGTCCATTTTATTCAACCCCTCTGCCATGAGCAGGGACACCTTCAGGCTGCTCCAAGCCCTGTCCAACCTGGCCTTGAACACTTCAAGGGATGGGGCAGCCACAGCTTCTCTGAGCAACATGTGGAAGGGCCTCACCACTCTCACAGGGATGAATTTCTTCCAAACACTCGATCTAACCCTGCCCTGTGTGAGTTTGAAGCCATTCCCCCTTGTCCAAAGTCCTCCTCCAGCTCTCTTTGAGTCCCTTGAGGCGCTGGAAGGGGCTCTAAGGCTCCACAGAACCTTCTCATCTCCAGGCTGAGCAACCCCGACTCTCTCAGCCCATCTCCATAGGAGGGGTGCTACAGCCTATTTGTTTACCAGATTTATTGCATCTGATGGTCACGGAAAGAGGCAAATCATGCGCATTTATGGGCAGGCAATAAAAACAGCTTGTAAAGGGGTTGGTACTTTCTCATGCTAAACGGGTTTAGTTTGGGTTGGGTTTGTAGTTGTTTTTTTTTTTTAGTCTTATCTACGGTGAAGATTAGTGTGCTAAAGGTGCTGCAGACACCACCCAGACCTACTCCAGGCTTTCTCCCTCACGCGCCACCCTCGGCAAGAATCCCCTCAGCCGCCCCGGTTCGCTCCGAGACCCCGCGCTCCTCCCCTCGGGCGCGCCAGGGCTGGGAATGAACACACGGTTGTTGTGTTTGCAGTGAACATTAGGTGGGCAGGCACACGGACACACAGACACACAGACAGACACAATCCCGCCCCTCAGGCTGTCCCCCGGGCTCGGGGCAGCCCGGTGCGGCCCGCGGGCTCGGGAGGCGGCGCCAGGCAGGCCGGGCCGCGGGCGGCGATGGCGGCGGCGCGCACGGTGCTGCTGACCGGCTCCAACCGCGGCATCGGCCTGGAGCTGGTGAAGCAGCTGCTGGGCTCGCCGCGACCCCCCGCCTGGATCTTCGCCACCTGCCGGGACCCCGACGGGCCGCGGGCACAGGTCAGTGCGGGCCGGGGGCGGCGGTGACGCTCGGCCCCTGTCACCGGCCTGAAGGGCTCGCTGTGGCGCGGGGCTCTGCTGCCCGCACCGTGCCCTGCCCCTTGTGAAAGTCACCTGAAGTGCAGCCGGCGGAGAATCGGCCGGGTCACCCTTGAGGCCGCGCCGCTGGGCTGCCCCGGGCCGTGCTGGGTGTGCCCGAACCCGCCCTGCCGTGCCAAGGCTTGGCCCTTTCCCCCGGGCACGGGCCGAGCTGGGCTGGCCTCGGCGCCCGAGGCACTGCGAGCGGCAGCGCTGCTGCTCGGGCCGGTCCTGCTGTGGCACGCTGCTCTCTGCAAAATCCCGAGGTTCAGAACATGGGATTTCCAAACGTGGTGGCCTGTGGGATCCCACTGTCCCTGCTTTCCACTTTGCTGAAATGGGAGAGACTGACACATGTTGCTTGTGCAGGGAATCACAATTCTTCCCTGTTCTTCCAGCTCGTCTTCCTCTGCTTGCTGTGTCCCACTGAGGTACTAATAGGGAGAAACTTGCTCTCTGATAGATCCTGGCTCCAGCTGATTTGTTTGTTGCATCTTCTTGCAAGTGTGCATTATTCCATGTCAGGAGTAGTCCTGGGGCAGTGAGAGCCCACCCTACTGCCAGCCCGGGGGTGCTCAGCTCCTGCTGTGGCTGGTGCCCAAGCTGTCTGGGTCAAAGATAGGCCAGGGCTTTTATATTTGCCCCATTCTTTCTCCCCACAACTTGCAGGACTCTTGCAGGGCAGCGATGAGATCAGGGACTTTTTTCAGGGCTGGTCTGGAGCCAGTTTTCCTACAAGGTGGTCCTCATGCAACTCTCCCAGCCAGGGGATACTTCCCTAAGCATTGTCCAGCTGTGGTAGGGTGAGAGCAGTGTCATCAGGGTGCTGCTGAAGTCCGTGACCACAGGACAAAGACAGCAGAGGCCACATCACTTCTCCTGCCCTTTTGTGCCTGGAGCAGGTGTTGGGGTGGGGGAAGCTCCTGCTGGGATGGTATGGGGCTGTTGAGGGAAAAACAGGAGAGGAGAAATATCTGTTGACCACCACAAACAAATTAATGGATTTAACATGATTTCCCAGGGCTAATGTGGGAAGATAGGGTCTGGTGAGGGAGCCCAGAGATAACTGATAGTGAACCGTGGCCAGTCCCAGCAGCTCTCCTGCTCTATGTTCCTCTCAAAAGAAACCACCAATTTGTATTTCTCCTGTGGGCATGTTTGGAAGAGGTTTTTATTTGTAAAAGCAATCCTTTTAGGCACATTGAACAAGGTGGTTCGGTTTCTGCTGTCTGAAACCTGCTGTAGTTGGAGACTCAGAGCAAAGAGCTGCTAGGAACTGTGAAGTAGAAAGTTTCCTTGCTGAAAAGAGCTTCTGAATCCTCCACTGTGGGAGTTGGCACAGGCAGGCAGAACAATCGATGGCTAAAACACAAAGAGTAAATTTATTTCTGTTATCTTGATAACCAGGGGGGATCCCTGTTGCAACACCAGGCAAAGGTACAGGGAGGTACAGAGAGAGAGGAGACACAAGTACTATTAAGATCCGTGCTAGTGGTTCATTGGCTGCTGTTTACATGGTTTATCAAGTGTTATTCCCAGCTGTAAGGTCACTTGAAGGATTTACAGTCCTCCTCCTGAGACTTCAGCTTTTCACCCACTCCACCCAATATCCCCACGAGGTGAAAGCAACCAATAAAAATGTGCAAAGTGGTTACATTCACTAATCATTAATAAAGTCCAGAGTGAGTGGATCTGGGACTGGCCTATCCAGGTGTGATTTCCTCACAGGTCAAATCTGATATTGGCACTCACAGGTATTCCTCTTCCACCTCATTTCCTGCAGCCTCTGGAAGACACTTCTGGCTGTGTCCCCAGCCAGTTCACATCATTTCCCTGGTAAACTGGTCCTTCACACTTTGCTCCCATCATTTGCTGTGGCTCTGGCTGGGCTGTGGATGACCCTTTGGGAAAGTGACCACAGTATCTTGCAGTCATGGCCATGGCATGTGCTGAGCTCATGGCACATTGCTTTGTGGAGCCTGGGAGAAGCCTGAGAGCCAAGGCCAGTCCCCATTCCAGCTGTTCACAAGCACTGAGTAACACCGGGACGATGTTTCCCTCAGGGTGGGCCATTGCTGGCACCCCAGCATGATGCTTGGCATCACCTTTGCCTCGTGCTGATTATTTTCATGTCTCTTTTTGTAGGAGCTGAGAGATCTGGCATCCAAACACCCAAACCTGGTTCTTGTAAAGCTGGGTATGTGTGCTCTGCCTCTGAGCTGGTAAATTTGTGACTACCAGCCATGCATGCCCTATTTCTCCTTCCCTCTCTCCCTTCAGGCTGTACATGGGGATCCACTTCTTCAGGGCTTCTTCAAGTCCTGCTGCCAAAACCCCAGCTTCTCCAGACCCCTCTCAGCCTCAGTACCCCATTCCCTGGAGCCTCCTTGCCTCATGGCCACAGGACCAGAATGTTCTTGAGATCCATCCTGGGCAGCCCCCTGGCTCCCCCAGCTGAGTGACCACATCCCTGCTCTGCCTTGATCCCAAGTCTTAGGCAAGACCAGGAGGGCCTTGGGAGGAAGGCAGCTCCTGTGGGAATGCTGTAAGATTAGCCCAGATCTTGAGAAGGTGCAGAAGGACCTTGCAGAGCCATCCCACAGCAGGTCCCAGCACATTTCCCCTGGGGACTTGTCCTTCCGGAGGCTGCCCTGGGGTCTCCAGAAATTGCTCAGACGTAGACTTTGGAGCAGTGGATGCTGAGGACTGACGCACAGCAGCGCTTTGCCCCCACGCTGGGGCTTTTCCTGGCGGGTGCCCTCAGCTGGCGGCGGAGGCGGCGGTGTTGGGAGGATCGGGATGAGTCGGAGCTGGTTTCGCAGCACCATCTGCTGCCCGTGGATGGAAGGGCCGCGCGGCTCGGAACGCGCACATTTCCTCGGCGCCCTCCCCTCCCGTGGCTCTCAGACTGTTCTCTCGCTCTGCAGATGTGGAAAACCCCTCGGCTATCACCGATGCGGCGAAGGTGGTGGAGGGGAAGCTGAACGGGATGGGGCTGAACCTGCTGATAAACAACGCCGGCATCTACACCCCCACGGCCTCGCTGGACACAGTCGACACTGAGGACATGGTCAGGACCTACAAGACCAATGCAGTGGGGCCAATGCTGATGGCCCAGGTACGGGTGAAGCTCTGGGGATGAAATTTGGCCCAACTTGAGGGTGTCCCAGGCTGTCCGTGGTCATGAGGGAAATCTTGGAGGGCTTTGCCAAATTTCTGGGGGCTGTGCCAGGGAGTGCTAGGGCTGCTCTTCAAGCCTAAGCCTTCTGCAGCCTCTCTGAATTGTGCAAGTCTAATTGGGAGCAGGCAGGGCCACTGCAGCAACAGCTGGGCTCTCCTGACAGCCTGCTGTTCTTCCTCACCCTCCCTGGGTTGCAGTTGCTGTAAGTGGGACTGGCTTGAGGCACAGGTGTCCCTCTAGGTTGTTTCTCTACAGGCCTTCCTGCCTCTGCTGAAGAAGGCTGCCCAGGACAGCAAAGAAAAGGGCCTGAGTTGCAGCAAGGCAGCCATCATCAACATCTCCACCATCTTAGGGTCCATCAAGAAAACACCTGATTCCTTCTTCCACCCTGTCATCTCCTACCGCTGCAGCAAGGTATGGAGAGTCATGACCTGCCCCAGCTCCTGAGCTCCATGGGGTCAGAGCTGCCCTTGCCAGGCTGGATGTCAGGGAAACACCTGGTATTGAGAGATGGAGGGAGACCCCAAGTTCCCAGGGCATCTTCATGCCCACCCAGGGGAAACACACACTGTATCTTGAAGACCTGGCATTGCTTTTTCTCTCTCACCAAGAGGCAGCAATGGGTAGGGAACCTGGTTCATAGAGGTTTTGCTGCCCATGGATGATGCTTGCTTCCTCACCCAGGCTGCCCTCAACATGCTGACCATGTGCCAGGCTCTGACCTACAAGGAAGCTGGGATCCTGTGTGTGGCACTGCACCCTGGCTGGGTGAAAACAGACATGGGCACCCAGGAGGTGAGTTCTGGCCAAGCAGGTCAACAGGGAACCCATGGGTGGTACCCAAGGCTACAAACCTGCCCAGGAGGTGGCCCAGGTGGCCAAGATGGCTCTCTGGAGGGAGGATCCACGTGGAAATGAGCTGCCTCTTGGGCTCCAAGTTGCCCGTGTCTGTGCTGGGCCCCTGCAGAACATGTGGATACTGGGACGTCTGGGAAATAGCATCAGCACATATCAGGCTGCTTGTTCAGGGGGAAGAAAGGGGCTTTGGGCAGCCTGAAAGATATGCAGAGAACCTGGATCCAACAGAGCAGGGAGAAGAGGAGCAACACCATCCCATCCTGTGCCCCATTCCGTGAAGAACTGCAGGTCCATGAGGTTTCCACTCATCCTGCAGGATCCATGTTTTGCAGTGGGGGTGGTCCCTGCAGCACTGGGGTTTTGAGAAGGCTGCACAAAACATCTCATTTGCAGCAGGGATCTCTTCCTGTTTGGTTAAACCTGTGGCTGGCTTCCCAGCCCAAGCCACCTCCATCCAAGCCAGCAGTGCAGATACCCAACCATCCTCCCACACAGTGGATTTGTCCCAGCTCCCATGGCTCTCTGCTTACTCTGGGTGGAGGGAGCCTTGCTGTCACTGCCCATGAGCCAAATGGGTGCTGCTGGATGGCCTGGAATGATGGTGGTGTCTCATTCTTCCCTTTGCAGGCTGACCTGACAGTGGACACAAGTGTGCGGGGGTTGTTGTCTGTGCTGCCAATCCTTTCTGAGAAACACAGTGGGACTCTGGTCAACTGGGAAGGGAAAGCCATCCCCTGGTGACTGCTCTCTGTCCCTGTGAGCAACTCCACGCCACGGGACTTCAGGGTGCTCAGCCCTCTGTGGTCTGCAAGGGACCTACCTGGGACTCCAGTGGGTGGGCAGGGTGTGATCCCTGCCTTCAACTTCCTAATAAATAAAGTCAATTAGTACCTGTGCCTTCTCCCAGCTGCAGAGTCTCTACTCAGACTGTCTTGCCCCTGCAAAAAATAGCCTGCCATTAATGGTTGAACTTGATGATCTTGGAGATGTTTTTTCAACCTAAATGATCCTGTGATCCAAGCAGTCTGCCTGCCTTGTCTTCAGCTGCTCTGAGCAGAAGGGGACGTGTAACTCACCCAAAGCTCCTGCTGTCCTGCCTGGCTGCAGAGTGTGCCCAGGTCTGCCTGGTCTCTGCCATGCTTCCACCAAAGCATGGTGTATTTGCCATAGATTTCTTGGGATGACTTTGTGCTGGACATGCTGTCTTGCTGTCTTTGGGAGCAGCCTCATGGTTGGAATGGGAAGACTGGGCACTACAGTCCAGTTCTGCAATCCCAGGCAGAGAGCTCTTGCCACAGTGGTGCCCCAGCTGGGCATGGTACCCCTGGGTGGGGGAAATCTGGTCCCATGGGGGATCACTGCATGGGAACGGCACTTCTGTGGGATGGAGAAGCTGAGAACCTTAATAAGGTAGGCTGGGCAGCCCTTGACTGCAGGAATTTGACCAGGAAGTGGTAACTGCCCCAGATAAATGGATTTTGGGGTGGTATTGGGGCTTTGCCCCTTCTGGAAAGAACCCCTCTTAAAGGAGCATGGCCAAAAGGAGCCAGGACTCCTGCAAAACCAAGCCTGGTCTCTGGTGGGCAGAGCAACCTGCCCTGCAGGACAGGCAACCCCCTGCTCCTTCCCTCAGAGGCCACCACCTTTTCTTTCTCATCTGGAGGACCAGCTGAAGCATCCCTCTGGGTCTGGGCTATGGTTTTACCTCTTTCTGGAGTGGCAGCTTGCCTGCCACCAAGAGCTTTCCTGGGAATCTTGAGGCCATGCCCACCTGGCTGTGCCAGAGGAGCTGTGTTCCCCATGCCCAGGCTGAAATGCTCTTTTCCAAGCCTGTGCTGTGCTTTCCAAGGCCCTAAGGAGCCAGCACTGCCAGCAGAGCACCCACATGAGGCACCCACTGCTGCACAGGTGCCCCCTGCCAGGGAGACGCTGACCTCAGAAGCCTCATCCTCAGGGGAGCTCTGAACCATCTGGGCTCTTCCACATGATCCAGCCACCTGATTTCCCATGTCAATGCTTGCTCTTTTCTTTCCCAGCTCATATCTCTGGCACGAGTGGTCAGTGCCAACTTGGGCACCTCCCTATCAGCGCTGCAATGGCAGCAGGAGGAGGGGAATCCCTGGGAAGGAATGGCTGAGGGACAGGAGCGTGGGTGAGGGGCCTGATCCTGGCAGTGCATTGCTGTGCTCAGCCCAGTGCTGGCTCAGAGACACGGCCAAGCCTCCCCCGAGTGCCCTCCCTGCCCCTTGGCAGAGCTTCTCCTGCCCCAGTTACTCCACACAAGCCAGCTGGAGCCCAGCCAGTCACCACAGGCTGGCTCCATGCCCATCTCTCTCTGTGTTCCTCCCTTCTGTCCCACGCCACGTGCTGGATCCTGGGAGATGAGCAATACCAGGGATCCCACCATGGATTGCTGACAGTTCACAGTCATTGTCCCCCTTGTGGCCATTGCCAGCCCCATGAGATGTGTGTCACTGCTCCCTTGGGAACACGCAGGAGACAGGACTGCTGACAGCTGGGACAAGCTCCATCACCTGGGGCATCCCCTGGGATGTGGTCAGGTCACCAGGGCATGGGCAGCCCTGTGTTCTGAAGGTGGTAGGAGAAGGAGTGGGAAGCTCTGCAGGTGGAGTCCAGTCTGGCAGTACTGGGCACAGCTCCTGGGGAGAACTAACCCCAGGCACTGCTGGCAGTGGTCTCACTTAGGGTGCTGGGATAGCAGACCAATTCTGGGCAGAGCCAAGTGGAAACAGGTCAGCTTCCCAGTTTTCAAGCCAACACAAGACTGGGGCAGGATAAACCAGCTGGGACCTCTCTGCAACTGGGATTCACCCCTGGTGAGTGCTTTGCCTTTGCAAGTGCAGCCAGGTGCTCTCCAGGAGCCCATCCTTCCACCCTCTGAGACAAGGCTCATCCCAGGGAGCACATGCTGGAGCTAAGCCACCAGGGACTGTGCCACCCATGGTAACTTGGAGGCCAGGGACCCCTGAGAATTTTAAGGTGCTGCAGGGCACGTGTTCTTCAGGAAGCCTCAGTAAAAGGCCAGATGGGCAGGTCTCCCTGCTCAAATGCTTGCCAAGTGGTGTTGGCTTTTCCTTTGCACAAGTTCCGGGTGTTTGTGCTCATGGAGCTGATTATCTCCCCGTTTCCTCTCCTGCCTGATGTTTCCTGCCTCCCTCCCTCCCTTTTGCTGGTTTGCCCTTTGTGTCAGGCTTATTTCCTGGCTCTGGGAAGTGTCAGACCTCAGTGTCCCCCCTGCCCCCTGGGATGGCAGCACATAGCCCTCTGTCCTTTGGCTGGGTGCACTACAGTGCCCCAGGAGACACTTGAGCTCCCAGCTCCCCCTGACCAGCTAGCTGCTCCCTGCGAGCACAGGCAGGTCTGAACAGAGCAAGTGTGATTTAGGATCCATCTGCTTTTACCAGTTGATCCATCTCTATTCTGAAGCTGGGGCACAGGTGCCAGTGTTGGTTCCAGCAGTAGGGAAAGCTGGACAACTCCTTGAGGACTCTTCCTGAGGCTGCACAGGGTCATGGAAACATATCTGGGGACTTCCAGAGACCATGGGTGGGGAAGCTGTCACCCAGAGCAGCTCAGACAGGCTCCCCCAGCCTCTCTGGAGCCATGGTAACATCTGGGAGCAAACATCTCTCTGCTTCAGGGAGCCCAGCAGCTCTCCAGGCATTGACCTCAGTGGTCGGAAAGGCCCACATTCCCCAGGCTCTTCCAGCAGCTGCCTTATTCCAGACCAATAGCCACTGGCAAAGACTTGTTGCACCAGGAGCTGGAGTCGGGCAGGTCTGTGGGTTGGGGTAGGAGCACTGAGGACATCGGGACTCCTGACCTGACTGGCCAGGATCAGGGCAAGACCCATTTGAGAGACACCCTCGCACACCCGAGTGGGGCAAATGGCAGCAGGCAGAGCCTCTGTGAAAGGCAAAGGCTGCTGTAGGAGGAGAGGGTAAAAAAACGGAAACGAAACGGAAAAGGGCTGCTCCTGTGAGAGCCGTGCAGCTGCGGAGGTGGAGCACAGACAGGTCACAATCAGCCACACACGAGGAAGTGCTGGGACACCAGCCAGCGTGGCCAGGCTGCAGCAGCTCCAGGTGCTGCTGATTTTTGCTGAGAAGGTCCAGGAGCAGAGGCAACCAGAACTGCAGGGACCTCAGCCAGGACCTGGAGATCCTCTCTGCAGGAGTCGTCTTCCAGCCAAAACTTCCTTCTGCCAAGGTGTGGGCGCTGTCTGGGATGGAGGGGATGGGGCAGCAGGATGGTTGCTGTGGGGGCCATGTGCTGGGTGGCACTGTGGTACTGGGGGGCTCTGAGGCCTGGGTGACCATTCCCACAGCCCCCAGCAGTGGGAAACACTGATGCTGGGAAGGCTGGACTGTCTGGGCGTGCAGGGTTTGGGGGTGCTGGGGGCCAGGGCTGCCATCAAAGCACAGGGACCCAACTTGTGTCCGTGAGAAATGAGGCTCTGGAGGGGGAATGACCCGGTCCCTGCAGCACCAGGGCTGCTGAGGAAGCCGAGTGGGACCAGCAGATAATGTGCTGAGGCTTCCTCCTGCACAGCTGCAGCTGCAGGGCTGGGGTTGCTCCATTGCTATCAGCCCCTGCAGAGCCCAGTCCATCCCTTCTCCCTCCCATATTATTGTTTGCCAGGAGGAAGCAGCTCACCCAAGTCCCACCTCAAGCTTTTAACCCACTGATGCCTGCCCTGATGCTCTCCACTCCCATCAGCCAGAGCCAGGCAGGCTCCACATCTGCCCTGGGAGGGTGGTTTGGTACTGGGAGCTTGCTCCAGGCTTTACCTCTCCGGCAACCAGAAGCACCACTTGACTTATCTCCCCCAAGCCACCTTGTGTCCCACGGGTCTCCCACAACCCCTTTTGCAGAGGGCAGACACTGATATTGCCACCCTGAATGCTTTAGATGCCATAATTCCCTCCTTCCTCTCTCTTCCCCTTTTTAGCTGGTTGGATCCTGTCTTCTGCTTCCTCTGGAAGCCCCCTAGTCTGCTGGGGGGGGCACCATGGAGACAGCAGCTTTACCAGCTCCACACAGACTTAACCCAAACCCCTAATAAGGGGTTTGGAGGAAATCCATCTTGAGGAAGAAAAATGCAGCACTTCTCCAGCTTCGTTTGACAGGCTGGGATTTAATCAAACCCTGGGATGTCCAGAAGTGTTCCTTGGGGAAGTGGAAATCAGACAGAACATCTCAGCAGCCTTCTCCAGATTGTCATCTTCTCACACAACTGAGCTCTGCCAAATTTTCCCCACTTCTCAACTGGCAAGGAGGGGACATCGGTGTCCCATCAGCACAGGCTGGGCTGTGCCCTCCCTGGTGATGACCACCGAAGGACACCTTTCCTGAGCATCAGTGTCCCTGCAGGAGCAGAGGTAGGTCAGCCACTGCTGAGCTTGATGGGGTGAGCAGAGATCCTCCCTGTCCCCTGTGAATGCACCACAGATGTTGATGAGCCCATCACATGCCCCCAGTGCCCCCTAAGAATAAACCATCCTGCTCTGTGCCCTGGGGCCCTGACACTGCCACACCCATGGATCTTCAAAAAGAAACTCTTTTGGGAGCACAGGAGGGTGCACCCATGGGTCACAGAGAGGTGCTCACCCTTCCTCCCACAGCTGGGCTCTGCCCATGCCTGTGCCCCCAGGGATGCCCACAAAAGGGATGATCCCTTGGCCATAGCACCCAGTCCTGCTCTGCAGGGTCCTGCCAGGGGTTTGGAGCAGGTCAGCCTCTCCCTGCCCATCCCAGGGGACCAGTGGGGCCTGAATTTCCAGCTTTGCAGAACAAGTTCCCGGGTGGCTGCACTTGGAGCTGGCACAGTGCCGAGATGCCAGCATGCCTGACCAGTGCTGTGAGAATGTGGGGG